TATGGACCTTGCTTTGTGCACTGGTGCGCAGTCATGTTGGAACAGGAAGGGGCCATCCCCAAACTGTTCCCACAAAGTTGGGAGCATGAAATTGTCCAAAATGTCTTGGTATGCTGATGCCTTAAGAGTTCCCTTCACTGGAACTAAGGGGCCAAGCCCAACCCCTGAAAAACAACCCCACCCCATAATCCCCCCTCCACCAAACTTTACACTTGGCACAATGCAGTCAGGCAAGTACCGTTCTCCTGGCAACCGCCAAACCCAGACACGCCCATCGGATTGCCAGACAGAGAAGCGTGATTGGTCACTCCAGAGAACACGTCTCCACTTCTCTAGAGTCCAGTGGCGGCGTGCTTTACACCGCGGCATCCCACGCTTTGCATTGCACTTGGTGATGTAAGGCTTGGATGCAGCTGCTCGGCCATGGAGACCCATTCCATGAAGCTCTCTACGCACTGTTGTTGTGCCAATCTGAAGGCCACACCAAGTTTGGAGGTCTGTAGCTATGGACGCTGCAGACAGTTGGCGACTTCTGCGCACTGTGCGCTTCAGCATGCGCTGACCCCGCTCTGTCATTTTCCGTGGCCTACCACTTCGTGGCTGATGTGCTGTTGTTCCCAGTTACTTCCACTTTGTTATAATCCCACTTACAGGCGACCGCGGAATATTTAGTAGCCAGGAAATGTCACGGAACACCTGAATCCGATGATTTGGAGGGGGAGGGGCCCAATACTTTTGGCAACATAGTGTATGTGGCCCTTTGGGAGATATCAGGGGCCTGCTATACCTTGCAGGTTGACTACCACTGTACTAGATCCTATTTGGTACCCTTAGGGCCCATTCACACTGGTGCATGGCATCAACTGGCGCTGAGCCGCACGTCATCGCGTCTGGTGCTATGGCTGCCTATTGATTTGAATGAGCTGGCAACCCGGCACAATACGCGTCCTAATCTTATCCATGTGTATAGCCCTTTAAGAAACCTCGTCTCTGTAGATTGTCATTATATATACATATGGGGCGCCTATATCTGTTCCTTCCTTCCTCTGCACTCACTGATTGAAAACAGACCCCCTGCAGTCTCTAATGATGTTGAACACCCACGATGCACCTGTTAACCAGAGATGTCGTGTTTGCTTAGATTGCTCGGAGCAGCATTTTGTTTTCAGAAGAAAAAGAAAGGAGGATTTGGTATTGTTTTATGTCCGATCGATATAAAGTGTGATGATCGGCCCGTATTGAGTGTTTTACATGCGGTTCCGTTTATGTTCATGGGAAAGGTTTTTTTTTTTCTCTGAAATGCTACTAGCATGACTCTTTAAATGGCACAATGGAAGTGCATGGGTGACACATTACAGGAGCAAACCACTTCCGGGCCGCAATACGTCTATAGACGGCGGCCCACAGAAGTGGTTAAAACAAGAACGCGGCCGCTGCAGCCGTGTTTTAGGTGTCGTTTTTTAACAGCCAGCGATGGCAGATAATGTACAAGCGATCCGGCGTCTATACAGCCACTGGATCGTTTGTACTGTGCGGCGCTGTTACCAGTGCCGGGGCCGCCATCATCTTCCCCGGGCTCCGCTATCCCCAAGACCGAATCTGCGGGTCTCCGCGAGACGATCGCAGAGAGATTCAGCGGCTTCCAGCCAATGGACCCGAAAGTGACGTGCATTACATCACTTCTAGTGTCACTGTACACAGTCTCTGGCTCCTAGAGCCAGGAGATGAAGCTGGGCAAGCGGATCAGTGCTTCCTCAGCTTCTTTGGGGTCCCTAGGTGACAGGGGTCTGAAAGACCCCTGATGTCTCCATAAAGAGGACCTCTCACACCCTATCTGCTATTACATAGGGGGCTTGTCAGTCAATAGGGTTAGTATAAAAATAAAAAGTGTTTAAAAATTAAAGTAACATTAAAAAAAAAGCAAAAAAGTCCCCCGCCCCCCACGTGCACGCACATACACACGCAAACAGGCATCAGTGCGCCTACGTGCGAAAACCACAATTGTGCTACACATGTTGCATATCATGGCGAGCGTCGGAGCGAGAGCAATAATTCTAGAGCCACCAATCACTGTTAGCACTAAACTGATGAGCCGTAAAATTGTTTAAAGAGCTCCCTGTGGGAAATTTGGGGTATTGATGGTTTTTTTTTTTTTTGCAGCTTCACGGGCGAACACAATTTTAAGGCTTGACATGTTTGGTGTCTAACAAAGGACAAAACAGAGCGCCTCCATAGTGTAAAAACGTCATTTATTGGTACGACACACAACTGGAATTCTGATGAAGGGGGCGTGCCCCCAAAACGCGTACACCTTTCGAACTCACAGGGGCAGAGGACAATGATGTGGTACATCCCTTCAGACTCCCGCTGCTAGAGATTTCAAGTTCTATCGACTTCTACATGCTTTTTACCACCGACTTTTGTAAGTACAATTCCAGTTGCTTGTCGTACCAATAAATGACGTTTTTACACTATGGAGGCGCTCTGTTTTGTCCTTTTGTTTCCCAGATCGGTGGTCTTATTGACCGGTGGGAGCTGCCTCTGTTGTGTTCTAATAATCGTTACAGCTGGCCCGCTTTGCAGCCAGAGGCGCCGGTATTGGTTTTTCGTTTCCATGTTTGGTGTCTATTTACCTGACGTGACCCCCAACTTTGATATTTTACCCAAAAATTGGGTATTATATTCCATTTCTGTGCGCAAAATTTTAATTTAGTTTATTTCATCCTAAAAATACCGGTTTGATCAACATTTGTGCAAATACCGTGCGACATTAAAAAGTGCAACTAGCATGTTTTTATTCTACAAGGCCTCTGCTGTCAATACATATATCATTGTTTGGGGGTCTGAAGCGGTTTTCTAGCCCAAAATGTATATTTTTCATGTGTGCGCAAATAGAAAATGCTCCGGGCAGCAAGTGGTTAATTACAAGGCCCAACATGTGTCTGGGAGTCGTGCCTGTATCTGTCAATCTTGGGACTTGTAGTTCCACAACAGCTGGACGGTCGGAGTCGCCCACCCCTGGCGTACAGGGATACGATAGTTGTCCGGCGTGACCATAACCGGCGGGGTTGCGCGTAGACTCCGCTTATCCGCAAAAAGACAGTTCCGTTTCCATGCAGCGAGTTCTCTCGGCCTCCCTGAGAAGAGGCTCAGCCATTGAATCGCCTGGATTCGGAGGATGATTTGTATGCACGGAGGACGCTGTTCATTAGCAGGGAAGCTTGACAGCTGCTAGAATTAGAAGCGAGATGACTTCAAAGGCTCAGCGTGAGAGCAATTACTGGGAGCCGGCACCTGTACCTCTCCGCGTGATGTCTGCGCGGCCGATAACGCTACGGCGCGTGATATCGGCGGGGGGAAATCCCTGCAGACACTGGGCTCAATAGCGTACCGCCATAGTGGCGTAAAAGGACACAAAGATCCAAGTGATTCATTAACCGTCCTAAATTGTAGCCAATGTGTCGCGTGTCATTTCACCTTCAGCACACCTCCCGGATATCAGTTGTAGGTTGGCAGGTGTAGGTAAGAAATGAGCAAAGTGGAGAATTTAGTTACTTTAAAGAAAAATGCAAAGAAATAATCTTTGCAGTGGAGGGGCTTCCCCGTCCCCGTCCCATCTGCAGGCTCTCCTGCCCCCTGGCTTCTAGACCGGTCTCTGCAGGCTCTCCTGCCCCCTGGCTTCTAGACCGGTCTCTGCAGGCTCTCCTGCCCCTGGCTTCTAGACGTGGAGCCGGCATCCCGGGCCAATTGTGAAACCGGGAGGTGGGCCATTACCAGCCGCCCGGCTTCCTGATTGGTTGGGAAGCCGACTCCATGCTGTTGGGCCACATCGATGCTGATTTGAGCAGGAAGTCTGCTTCCCAGCCAGTCAGCGTAGTGCCGGCTTCCCGGCAAACCAGGAATTACCTGCTGCCCAGCTTCCTGATTAGCAGTGAACAGCACTCCATGCTGTTTGGCCAGCTTGATGCTGATTGGCCGGGAAGCCAGCTCCATGTTCCGTCGTGGCACTGCCGGTCAGAGGAAATCTCCCTCTGACTGGAAGTTCCAGCATTGGGGAAGGTATCTGAGCATTTGGCTGAGTACAAGTACTGGCCCAAATACTCGGTATTGATACTGATACTAGTATCGGTATCGGTGCATCCCTGATTACATGCAGTTTTGCTAAATGAAAAGCTATGCAAATGTTTTTTTTATGAATAGAGCTCTCGGTGTCTGTGCGGCCTGTGCAGGTAGACGGAAGACTGACAGCAGCTCAGTGAAGCATAACAGAGAAGAGGGAAGTCTGGTGGGTCTGTTATCATCGTTCTGCATCACTCGTCTATTAATAGCTGATGGAAGTTGAGCTGTGAAAACTGCAAAAAAAAGGCCGTCAGTCATTACAGTATTTTATAAATCAGTAGAAATAACCTATAACGGCTCCGCCTCTTCTGGGAAGGCGTCCACAAGGTTTAGGGGTGTGTCTATGGGAATGTTGGGCCATTTGTGAGGTCAGGTACTGATGTTGGGGGAGAAGGCCGGGCTCGCAGTCTCTGCTCTAATTCATCCCAAAGGTGTTCTATCGGGTTGAGGTCAGAACACTGTGCAGGCCAGTCAAGTTCCTCCACCCCAAACTCCCCCATCCATGTCTTTATGTACCTTGCTTTGTGCACTGGTGCGCAGTCATGTTGGGACATGAAGGGGCCGTCCCCAAACTCCTCCCACAAAGTTGGGAGCATGAAATTGTCCAAAATGGATGGACTTCTTGCACAGGTGACAACCTATCACAGTACCACGCTTGTAGTCACTGAGCTCCTGAGAGCGACCCGTTCCTTCATAAAATGTTTGTAGAAGCGTCTGTATGCCGAGGTGTGTGATTTTATACAACTGTGGCCATGGAGGTGATTGGAACACCTGACTCCAATGATTTGGAGGGGCGTCCCAATACTTTTGGCAATAGAGTGTGTGTGTGTGTGTGTGTATTTTTATATCAAATAATTTAATTTCTTTTTTTCTTTTCACAGTCATGATAAAGGACAGGAAACAGATGAAGTGGTAGAGTTGCATGACGGTAAGTCCCTCTGGGGTCGCGGTTGTTTCAAGCTCTTACTTTCCTGGCTGTCTGCAGAGTAGTATAGTTGTAATACATGGAGCAGATATAATATTGCTTTGTACTGCCCCCCTGAGATTTCCCCGCAGCCAAAGCTTTGTCATGTGAGCAGTTATGTAGCAGCTGTGGATCTCTCACATTGTATTGTGTGTTGATTTGTAGCCGGATGAAATACATGTGCATGCAGTTATAGATTGCTGGTGTGTCCGAGTTATCAGCAGTTGCATTGCTGAACACAAGAAGCCAGTAAAGCTGGTGCGTGAATTGGATTTCTGTGTGCCGGTGGTATGAATATATAGAGCAGCCTTTCTCAAACATTTTAACAGGGAGGAGCTCTTGAGTTTTCTTTTAGGTCTCTGGGAACCCCTGCCAATATTCTATCTACAGCTCACAGTACAATAGCATAGTGGTCAGTAGGAAGAATGCTCCTTACATTGGTGGTCCCTGGGTGGAACTCTCCTTACATTGGTGGTCCTTGCGAAGAATGCTCTTCTTACATTGGTCATCCTTGAGAAGAATACTTTCCTTACATTGGTGGCCCATGGGAAGAATGCTCTTCTTACCTTGGTGGTACTTGCGAAGAATGCTCTTCTTACCTTGGTGGTACTTGCGAAGAATGCTCTTCTTACCTTGGTGTCCCATGGGAAAAATGCTCTTCTTACAATGGTGGCCCATGAGAAGAATGCTCTTCTTACATTGGTGGCCCATGGGAAGAATGCTCTTCTTACATTGGTGGCCCATGGGAAAAATGCTCTTCTTACAATGGTGGCCCATGAGAAGAATGCTCTTCTTACATTGGTGGCCCATGGGAAGAATGCTCTTCTTACGGCTAGTTGAAAAGTTCATTGGTGTCAGTGCTTACATTTCTGAGAGGTGATAACTGCTCAACCAGGAACCCTGGTTGGGAAACTCAGCCCTCCCATTGGTCGTAGTTTAACCCCATCAGTACAAACACTTGGAGGGATGGCAGAATTAGGTGGGCTGGCCTCGGTACAGGAACAGGGAAACAATTCTGGTATACATATAGGCTGTGAACATAGTTGTCTATGAATAATGATCAGCATGATGTCATTTATCAGCAGGAGATGAGACGAGCGCTGATGAGCATACCGCGGTGGCCATTGCAACTGTCCAGCAAGCAGCCTTCTCAGACCACAACATTCAGTATCAGTTCCGCACAGAGAACAATGGAGGTCAGGTATGTAGTTCACGCTACCGTGAAACAATGGTGGTCCACATCACCTCATACCCTGGATGTTCTCAAGTCGTGAGGTGGACATGCCATTCATCTGTGTTTGTCACTGATTAAGTTAGCCCGTATCATTTCGGTGCCAGTGCCTCAGGGAGATCTGAAAGACACAAATTAGAATTACAATTTGGGTATCACTAATACATGATTTGAATGTATTGCTTTAATGGCTGACTTTGACTTGGTATCAGCCTCTTGCAATTCCTTGTACAGCAGAGCTCTCACTGGGAAATAGGCATTTCTAATGCCTTGGTTCTCAACTGGTGGGTGGCGATCCCGTGTTCAGTGTGTCCCCACATGCCTTACACTTTTCTAGGTGAGAGGCTCCTCTGCCTCCCCCTAGCGCAGCACTGTCAGTTCTCACGCCGAACAGCCATTCAGAATATGCTGCCCGGTGCCGAGTGTCAGCTTGAGGTGCAGTGGAATGGGGCTATGGCCGCAAGGGAGCTCCATCCATCCGTGCATTGCTTACAGCTCCCTCATGTGTCTTGTAGAGGTGCCTGGACCGGAGTGACATCACATTCTCTCCCGGCACCTCTACAAGGCGCGCAAGGGAACTGCACCAGCAATGCACATATGGATGAAGCTCCATCACAACACAGCAGCCCACGCTGGACCCCAGGCTGAGGAGTCACTCCAGTTCTTGTAAGATAGGGATACCGGGTGGATCTTGGGGAAAAAAAAAGATAAAATGTTTTGGAGTGTGTATGTCGGTCAGTGTTTTTAAGGGGCCGTTCACACTAGCACAGTGCGTTGGTGGCACAGTCCCGTGCGATTAACACACTGTACTACGCAAAGTAGCAATTCTGGTGTGGGAGGTGTGTTGCATTGCCATTCATTTGAATGGCACCCCAAACGCACCTCCCACCCACAGTTCGATCGCCCGCACCGGAATGCTCGGTACCGCAATGCCGTGCATTCCAGTGCTGTGCGACTTGGGTCATGACTTTAACCTCAGGACCCACATTTGTCCTTGGTCATACACAGGTTGAGAACTACTGATCCAATGTTAGCAGTTTGCCTGCGGCTTTATTGCAAACGCTTCACCATTATAAATCCCATGAACTAGCAAATGATTTTAAAGTCTGTTGCTGGCTTCAGGAATCTGTACAGTAAAGTCTCCTCCAGCACAGCTTACTATACAATAGGTAGCAGTGGCCCATATGGCATTGGGAGATGGAAAAGGGAGGCCCTGTCACAAGTTGCATGCCGGGTTTTCCAGGGTGGCGTGTACTTAAAGGTTGCAGTAAGGGTTAAATGATAATCCTACTTTTCACAGCATTAACGTTAGCAGGTCCTTTTCCACATCCCCCATCCATTTATATTTACCCAACACAGATTGCAAAACCGCGGTTGCCCCTTTGCCTAACGGGCATGTCATTTCAGCCCTTCTGTGGGTCAACTAGCTATTGGTACTGGCCTGCTTGGCTCTCACTGCCATACAGTGTAATTGAAAGGCCGCCATTTTGTAGTTGGCATGTAGGGATATACCGATATCAGTATCAGTATCGATGCCGAGTATTTGGGCAAGAACTCGTACTCGCCCAAATGCTCCTGATGCCTATCCCCATACCAGAACGTCCGGTATCAGGAAGCTGGTCGGCGATTCGCCGGGAAGCAGGCTCCATTCTCCCTCGTCACTCGGTGATGAGGGAGCATCGTGTAATGACTCGTTGCCCGGCTTCCTGATTGGTCGAGAAGCTGGTCAATCAGGAACCCGGGCAACAAGTCATTACACGGCCCCGGCTTGAAAGCCTGCTCCTTGCTTCCTCGTCACCCGGGGATGAGGGAGCATGGAGACAGCTTCCCTGCTTATCGGGAAGCCAGGCGGTGAGTTTTTACACGCCGCCTGACTTCCTTAATGGGACTTCCGATATCGGCGAGTACCGAAAAGCCGGTATCGGTGCATTTGTTCCCTAGTAGCATGCATCAGCAACACCTGAAATTTCAGGTTCTGGGTGGACTGAACGTTTTATAGGAATGAAAGGGCTTATAGGGGAGCGGCTGTTTCAAGCACAGCAGGGACTTTCCAGTCCTAAATTGACAGTAGAAGTCTAAAGAGTGTGATTGTGGCTGTATAGTCTTCTCCTTCTTCTCTTCAGTCTCTGCATTCGCTGTAAACTTTGGTCCATTTTGTGTTTTTCTTGTCCTTTTCCAGGTGACATACAGAGTAGTCCAGGTGACAGACGGTCAACTGGACGGTCAGGGTGACACGACTGGAGCAGTGAGTGTGGTTTCTACTGCAGCCTTTGCTGGCGCCCCACAAGCTGTAGCGCAGGTGAGAGGTCAAAGATGCAGTGCTAACCGTGTGTATGTAGTAAAGAGGACCTGTCTGTTTACTAAATACACACCGCTCATTGTGTCATGGGGGAGGATGTGCCAAGGAGCTAATGTGCCCATTCTCCTTGGCTGCTTTTCTCCCAAAGCTCTTTGTTAGGCAAATATTGTAATATATTACAGCTTACCAGTGCTTACAGTGACATAAAAGTCCCCCCTCCTGTAATAGCACAGTGCCGAACAGCTGCTTGAATCGTTTCATCCCCGTGAGTAGAATTAATTCAATGCCGGCCGACGGGTAAGAACTTGTTTGACAGCACAAAGCCATTGGACCTGCGGGGTTCAGCACAAATAAGGATACCATCCTAAAGTTGGCATCACAACCAGGAAATGTGCATTTTCTGGACTCCCGTACTGGTCACGGATGGGTTAACAATAGAGGTTATACCTGGGCGCCTTTTGTTAATGAGATTTCAGAATAATGAACGGAGAAGGACACGGAAAGTCGTTTTGTAGGCGGAGTAGAACAACTAACTATGCTGCGAGACTAAACTGCATCAAGTGGTGAAAAGCATAATGCTTCATTGAGCATTGGATACATTTATCAATGGATGTCTGCAGGAAGATACATCTGTAATTGTTCGCAGTATCCCTACTGGCTAACTTTCCTGCGCTGTCTAGGAGGAAGACCCTAAAATCAGATCAGGGACTCTTTTCAGTTTATGTTCTACAAAAGATACAGCAATCAAGGTCTAAGGCTAGGTTCACACCAGATGCAGTGCGTTCCGGCCTGATTCTGTTGCGGCCGGCTCACTTTTTTGTGGGGCAGGAGGGGGCGAGGCGGGCCATTAAAGTGAATGGCACCGTAGCCACGCCCTCCGGCCGCACGGGATAACAAGGCACATTATACCTGCGGTCCGGTGCAATCAAAACGCGGCGAGCACTATTTTGATCACACCGGACCGCAGCCATAATGTGCCTTGCGGCCGGAGGGCGTGGCCACTGTGCATAGTGCTTGCAGCATTTTGATCGCACCAGACCGCAGGCACAGTGTGCCTTGTGATCCCTTGCGGCCGGAGGGCGTGGCCACTGTGCATAGTGCTTGCAGCATTTTGATCGCACCAGACCGCAGGCACGGTGTGCCTTGTGATCCCTTGCGGCCGGAGGGCGTGGCCACTGTGCATAGTGCTTGCAGCATTTTGATCGCACCAGACCGCAGACACGGTGTGCCTTGTGATCCCTTGCGGCCGGAGGGCGTGGCCACTGTGCATAGTGCTTGCAGCATTTTGATCGCACCAGACCGCAGACACGGTGTGCCTTGTGATCCCTTGCGGCCGGAGGGCGTGGCCACTGTGCATAGTGCTTGCAGCATTTTGATCGCACCAGACCGCAGACAATAATGTTCCTTGAGATCCCGTGCGGCTGATCGCATTGAGGGCGTGGCTACGGTGCCATTCACTTCAACGGCCCGTTACGCCCCTTCCTGCCCCACAGAAAAGTGAGCCGGCCGCAATGTGATGCAGTGCGTTCTGGCAAGAATTGGGCCGGAACGCACTGCATCTGGTGTGAACTTAGCCTAAATGTGATTAGGATATAAATACAAAGAATTATAATATAGAGCCAATCACGAGGGGGAAATTAGTGTTGCATGAATGTGTGTCGGTATGAAGACAACGTTGTCATTTTTGGTGCGGTGAAAGGATTATCTGATTTTTGTATCTTTTTACATGGTGGTAAAGCGTATATTATTAATATACAGTATATAGACTTTGGTGGTGACTTCTTCGCAGGTCCTGCTTTCTTACATGACCATAATCTGATATTTAAGGATACCTCTTAACACCCCGGGTGACAGCCATGGCTCCCTCCGTAGATGCAGGGGAGTGAATGAGCCTAGGCACCCCAGGAAGTGTGTGTGGCAGGATCACCAGGTGAAAATAAAGGAAATAAAGCTGATACAGCCTCCTCATCTAAGGTCTGGTAAACTGCAATAGATTACATCTCAGTTTCAGGGATTCAATACACTTTACATTTGTAGGGGGGCTACTAGTTAGAGTCAAACATTAGCATGGGGCAGAGACTGAACTGCGGGGGAAACGGGTTTCTCTGGGTGTTCCCAACAAAGAACACTGGTGAGGAAATCATCTTCCCTACCCTGCAGAGAACAACTTTGTGGAGTTATCCTTTAAAGCCGTCCCATGCGCATATGTTTACAAACTGGTGTAGATTTACGTCTCTGTATCTGATCGTTTGCCATCGGAGGAGGGAAGGGGATGCAGAGGAAGATGATACCATATTGATTATTTTATGTCTTCCCTGTACAGGCCGTCATCCAGAACCCTTTCAGTAATGGCGGAAGTCCTTCAACAGATGCAGTCAGCGGGGAGACACGGTTTGCGTACTTCCCAGCTTCCACAGTCGGTGACACCACAGCAGTATCCGTGCAGACAACTGACCCCTCACTGGCTCAAGGTGGAGGTGAGTGGAACTTATTTATCCGACATCCGGTCAGATTTTTAATATGTCTTTATGTGACGCAAAGCTTTGGCTGCTACAGTCTGCAAAAGATCTTTCAATATCAGGCTGCCCCACACTGATATTTTAGATTTGGGTGGACAGAGGAGGGCTAAATCTTCCGACTTTTTTTATATATCCTGCGCATTTCAGCAGTGAGACCTTCTGGCTCAGCCACTTACTGCTGCCTGATGTAAAGAATCAAAGATGAAGCTTAAAGAACAACTATAGGGTCAGGGCTTTTCCCCATAGTTCTCCTAAGGGTCACGGGAGGACACAAACTAGCGTCCTCCCGTCACCCAAAGCTCAGTATACCGCTCGTGTATACTGAGACGCCGGAACGGATCCGGTCAATACTGTCTGGATCCACCCAGCTGCGTGAGTGACAGCTGGCTCTGCCTATCTGGAAGCAGAGCCAGCTGTACCCGCCCCGTCCGTTCCGCCAGTCAGCGCTGGATGATCGGAACGGGGAGACTGAGAATCCCTCTCTGCAGGGATAAATCGAGAAGCGAGCGACGGTCTGTGTTCGCTCACCTTCCGGTCTTCCGACAGTTTCATTGTCACAGGTCGGCTCAGATTTATGAGGCTGAATGAAAATCACTTGCCTCATAGTTCTGCTTTAAGAACTCTTGGCGGCGGCATTGGCCAGCCATTGGAGATGGGTTATCAAATGGAAAGAGACCTTATCATGCCAAGGGGCGTTACAAAGGTATAGATTAAAGCAGAACTCCACCCATGTTACCCAAAGCTCCCACCACCAGCATTTTGTTTTAACCCTTTTATAGCCGGTGACGACATCACAGCTTCTTTCCAGGCAGGGGAAGGGGGGCATCCTTCCTGGACTGAGCGCCACTCAGTCCTGTAGTACTCTGAGCCTGGCTTGCGTGGTGACACAGGACGGGAAGGTTGTGTTAATGGCAGGTTGGGCTCACAGGAAATGGGCAGAATGGAAGAGTGTTCTTCTGCCCTGAAGAGGATTGCTGGTTCTGGACCAAGGAGGGGACAGCAATAGAACATGAAGTTTGGCAATTTGTTTTTATTTTTTTAATACAGATAGGGGATCTTTAATTTGTGACTTACAGCACTTCCTTCTTACTGTATGTACTAATCAGTCTGCTCTAACCATTTTATGTCCCCCCCTCTTAGGGCAATTTTATGTCATGATGACCCCTCAAGATGTGATTCCCGCTGGGACACAGAGGACTATAGCTCCGCGCACTCATCCCTACTCTCCGTACGTATCAATGGGACTTGTTAAGCTGTGATATGTTCCTACTAGGGATAATACAGAATCACCTGCACTCCATACAGCGTACAGACCTTGAGTAAGAGGCTGGTGCTTGAAGTGACAACACGGATGGTGCCGTGTCAAATACAGTCCATAATAGAAGTCAACCGGACCTCGATGATATGTGCAAGAAGTAAAGCCATTTTTATTCAATCATCACATGCGTCAAACAGCTGTTTTAAATAAAAAGTGCTTTACTTCTTGCACATTATGTTCCTACTAGGGACGCACAGATACCGATATTTATCTTTCGGTTCTCGCTGATACGGAGTACCGTTACCAGTACTTCCACTAGCCATGGAGCCAGCTTCCCAAGCAATCGGGGAACGGCGCGGTGTGTCATTACCCGCCGGCCGACTTCCCAATTGGCCGGGAAGCCGGCTCCATGTTCTCGCGTGGCACTGCCGGTCAGGGAAAACCTCCCTCTGACCGGAAGTTCTGGTATCGGGTAAGTATCGGCAACGGTACCAATACTAGTATTGCTATCGGTGCATCCCTAGTTCCTACACAATAAAACTACCTTATGACTGGTGGATTCACCTTCCGTGTAAACAACAATGTTTTTAGTTGTGCAGATTTCCTTTCGGAGACTACCTAGAGCTTGGTTATGAAAGCTGAACTCCAGTGAACGGTCTCGCCTGCCAACTGATATCAGCCAGTGTAGACTTTAAAGCTGAAATTCAAGTTTTCCATGTGTACTATTACTTCCTGTCAGCGTGTACACTGCAAAAGTACCTTTTATAAAGTCAATGATGTCATTTGGAAACAAAGTGCAGCTTTGCCCTAGGCACCCAAGAGGGCATGTCAGGGTAGCGCCAATGTCACTTCTGACACCACTAGAGAAACCTACAATTCTCATCATACAGTGGGAATTGTTGCTGCCTGTAGGCAGGATTCCTACAGATGTGAGAAGGCATGATAGACCTATAGTCTCCTGGCCTGCTTGATGTCATGGTGGGTGAGACAGACCAGGAGGCTCCTAGCCTGTCTAGTCAAGGTATGATGTCATGGTGGGTGAGACAGACCAGGAGGCTCCTAGCCTGTCAGTCAAGATATGATGTCTGGGTGGGTGAGACAGACCAGGAGGCTCCTAGCCTGTCCAGTCAATGTATGATGTCATGGTGGGTGAGACAGACCAGGAGGCTCCTAGCCTGTCCAGTCAAGGTATGATGTCTTGGTGGGTGAGACAGACCAGGCTCCTGGCCTGTCGATTTAAGTTAGGCAGTATATAATGGATGGGACAGACCGGGGGTATGAGAAGCTCAGGTCCTCCCAGTACAGTAATTGGTGATGAAAGTTCACTGCTGTTAGGAATTAAATAAAATGGGGAAGTTACATGACCGGTGGCTCTGGGGAAGGACATGTTTTTGTTGTTGCAACCTAATAAGTGCCACATGCTTTTTGTTTTCTAGTTACCGCAATTATTATTTATTTTCACACACTTTATTTACCAAGATCTTTTTTGACTAGCTTATACCGTGATCATGTGACCAGGAACCACACTGGCTGGCTGTTTGCCATCAGCTTAGGCTGCAGCCATCTATTGATGTGATCACTTGCCTCGGGTGAACATTTAGAACTGAAGAAGAATTCAGTCTTGCATATGACATTTATCTGATGTGGAAGTATCATAAGCAGTCATGAAGTGGTTAATGTCTGTCCCGTTCTATCCTTGGCGTGCATTCGAAGCTTTCATAGTGGTGTTTAGTCCATTTCTTTGTCAGTAGTCACTATGTACGACAAGAACAATGTACAGGTCACATGCAGTCTTACCTTCATTCACTATCTTTCTGTTCTAAGACAATGGAGTTGGTTAACTTATCTCTGTTTGCTTCCTATCAGGAAAATGGATGGAAACAGAACTCCACGCGACGAGAGGCGTAGAGCGCAACACAATGAAGGTAAATGGCTAGCCCCACCTACCCACTTACATGCACCTGTTGGTGTGTGTATATACTAGGGATGCTCTGCCGATGCCGAGTATTTGGGCGAGTACTCGCCGAAATGTTCTGATGCCTAGCCCGATACTTCTGGTATCAGGAAGCCGGGCAGTGCGTCATTACACGGCGCCCGGCTTCCCGATTGTCCACAAAGCCGGCTCCATGCTTTCCCGTCGCCTAGTGACGAGAAGCATGGGGACGGCTTCCCTGTTAATCGGGAAGCCGGGTGGAGAGTCATTACATGCCGCCTAGCTTCCTGAATGGGACTTCCGGTATACCGAAAAAGAAATATCGGTACTCGATAGAGAAATACCGGTATCGGTACATCCCTAGTATATACCCTTAAAGAAAAACTACATTAAAGGACCAAACGTTTGTGGTATGGGCTTGTTGACATTCCATTCCAAAACCATGCACATATTTATGGCGTTGTCCCCCCTTTGCAGCTATAACAGCCTCCACTCTTCTGGGGAAGGTTTTCCGCATGACTTTGGAGTCGGTCTGGGAATTTGTGTCCATTCAGCCAAAAGAGCACTTGGGAGGACAGTTACTAGTGTTGGGGGAGAAGACCTGTATCACAATCTGCATCCCAATTCATCCCAAAGGTGTTTAGTAGGGGTGTGTGCTGGACACTCCAGTTCCTCCACATCAGACTTGTCAAACCATGACTCTGTGGAACTGGCTTTTTATTCATGGCCACAGTTGACGTGTGCCCCGATTATCAGGAAGTCGGGTGTCGGATCATGACCCGCTGCCCGGCTTCCTGATTGCCTGGGAAGCCCGTGTTCTATCAAAAGAACACCGGCTTGACTTGCTGAGGCTGCCTGGCTTCCTGACCAATCAGGGAGGCTGTTCATAACCCACCGCCCAGCTTCCTGATTGGAAAGGAAGCCGTCTCCATGCTCCCTAAGCACTGTCGGTCAGAGGGAGATCTTCCTCTGACCAGAAGTTCCGGTATCGGAGCATTTGGACGAGTACCAGTACTCGCCCAAATAATCGGTATCGGCACCAATACTAGTATCTCACTAATTTTAATACAGGAGGCGGTACAACTGTGCAAGACTGAAGGGAAGGCCGGAGTTCAGCTTCATGTCCCTGGGATACCACTGACACTGCTGGATATATCTTTTGACTTTTCTCTGCCTGAGACAATTGACTGACCATTTCATTCTTACTCACAGTGGAGAGAAGGCGAAGAGACAAGATTAACAATTGGATCGTCCAGCTGTCCAAAATCATTCCAGATTGCAACATAGAGACCAGCAAAACCGGAGCGGTAAGATCGGTCCCATTTATAATGTCTGTTTTCATAAACGGTTTGTCTTTAGAAATCCATCTGATCCCTAAAAAAAATAAATGTCCCATTTCCCTTTCCAGCAGAGCAAAGGCGGGATTCTCTCCAAGGCGTGTGACTACATCCGTGAGCTGCGCCAGACTAACCAGCGTATGCAGGAAACATTTAAAGAAGTGGAGAGGCTTCAGATGGACAATGAGCTGTTACGTCAGCAGGTCAGTCACCCCTTTTGTGGATTCTATCGGGTTGTGGTTCTGTTCTTAATGAGTTGGTACTTTTACATGTTTAAGTATTTGGTACCTTAGACTGGGTTGCTGTAGTACGGGCGTTTCTTTTTGGCCTCATAACTATAGCTACTGGAACTGTGCAAAGAGGACGAGGAATACACACTATATTGCCAAAAGTATTGGGACGCCGGTCTTTGCACGCACATGAACTCTAATGGCATCCCAGTCTTAAGGTGCCCATACACAGTATGATTATTGTACGAGAATCGCGGGAAATCCCGCGTGCGACCGTTTCTACTGTACGGTCGCACGTCTTTGGTCGAACAAGCAGGCTTGAAAACACGCCGAGAATCGTATGATTCTCGGGGGGGTTAGTGGCCTGCTGGTTCGACAAATGCCGAACGGGCCGGTGTGCACACACAGCCCGTTTGCAGTCATCGGAAGCCCGCCCCTCATTGCAGTCATCGGAAGCCCGCCCCTCATTGCAGTCATCGGAAGCCAGCCCCTCAGTGGGGCGGGCTTGCGATGATCGCAAGTACGATCTGCCTCTCCAAGATGGGCAGATCATACGAGCTTTTAATGAGCTTACAAACATCGCAAGACAAAAGTCTTGCAATGTTTGTAAGGTGTATGGGCACCTTTAGTCCGTAGGGTTCAGTATTGAGTTGGCTCCGCCCTTTGTCGCTATAACAGCTCCGCCTCATATGTTTGTAGAAGCGTCTGCATGCCGAGGTGCTTTATACACCTTTGGCCATGGAGGTGATTGGAACACCTGAATCCAATGATTTGGAGGGGCGTCCCTCCAAATGGGACATTTGGTAATATAGCGTGTGTGTGTATTGTTTCTGACCTGCGCTCTCTCTTGTATTCAATGTACAATGAAGGTACGGGAGGTTCCCTGTCATCAGTGTGATGATTGACACTCTGCATGGTCAGTGACCGCTGCCACATTGACGGTGTTTACGTCCCTTTTCCAGATCGAAGAACAGAAGAACGAAAACACACTTTTGAGATCACAGCTGCAGCAGCACGGCATCGAGATCGTGGAAGAGACCCCGAGGTCGTAGATCCGTCACCGAGCCACACAGTGGGGATTGTTTTTTCGTTTTTTTTTTTTTTTATTATTATTTTATTTTTAGGGATTAAAATTGCCACGGAGAAACTTGTACATTAGCACCCCCTGTCCTTTTACTGTTGCCACCACCCCCCGCCTCTTCCCCCGGCCTCCCGCTACCCTTTAAATGTATCGTGTCAAAGATTTCTGTCGATCCTCATGAAGGGACGTCTCGGAACGCAAACACATAACGCGGAAGGGGGGGTGGTGCGAGGGACAAACGTGGGTCTTCCTCGCAGGGGGCAGAACCCCTCCACCTCCTGAACTTAACGGACTTCTCAAAGAACGGCCAGGCCTCTTCACTGCCAGCGGGACCCGGATTTGGCTCGTGGAATGAATTTCGGAGTTAGAGAGTTAAGAAATACATTGCATTGCTCTTCGTTTTTGTTTTTTTTCCTTTTATAAATATATAAATACGAACCATCCTTTAGACTTTTAGCAATGAATCCGTAGGTAACATGACTTCCTTTCGCCCTCTGAACCTTTATCCTTTTTTTTTTTTTTGCTTTCTTTTAAAGAAAAGAAAAAAAAAAATACAAAAACAGCAGTTGTGACTGTGTAGCACGTGTGGAAGGATGGAAGATAGTTTTAGGATAACTTACAGGGGAGGGGGGGTTATATATTACCGTAAGCTAAGAGCGCATTTGCCGCTGGAGACACAAGTTATTTGCCTGCGAGCTACGGATTTGTTTTTTTTTTTTTAAACTGTTCACGTCCACCTAAAAAAACCCGCTCTCCACCCCTCAACCTTCTTCTTGCAGCAACTTCAAACGGCCACCAGGTGGCGAAGGAGAGCTATGTATCAAGCAGGGTCATGAAAAGCCTATGCATCAATATCAGTTTTTGGGGATTTTTGTTTTTGCTTTCCAAGTCCTGTAAGCATCAAAGCTTCAAAAACAAAAAAGCAATATTTAATCGGATTACCATCAGGTGTATCTATGCACTTTATCCATCTCTCAGCAGCTTTTTTTTTATTTTCTGCATCATACAGTCCTTTGCCATCTGTGAAATGGGTTGTTGTTGTTTTTTTCTTCAGTGAATATGTAGAGTCTCCAAGCTGGACTGCAGGAACTGGAAAAGCTACCCTTGTAGGGGGGCATGCCTGTGCGCTGCAAGGGTTAAATGCTTGTTTGTGCTTTGGGTATTGGATAGGGATGCCGAGTATTTGGGTGAGTACTCGTACTCCCCCAAATTCTCCGATACTTACCTCTGATACCGCAACTTCCTGTCGGAGGGAGATTTCCTCTGAGCGGCAGTGCCACGAGGGAATATGGAGCCGGCTTCCTGGGTAAACAAGTGATCTCGGCGACATCGCTGGGATCACTTGTACTAAAACACCGGCTTGGCCGCTCTACATTTAGCCCTGCTTGCCCAAAGCCGGGCTAAATTTAAAAAACTACCCACCCCGAAATCCATGTCCCGGGCATTGGGAGATAGGAATTCCACACCCCTGCTGCCCCTCTACTCCCTTCTGCCCCAAGGCCGGGCCTTGTGGGAAATCCGGCCCTGCACGTGCATGCATGATGGCGTCCCAGAGGTTGACACCCGGCAGCCACACTGGGTGACACCATGCCTGGAGATGCCCCTGGTCAAAACCAAACAGCATTGAGCCGGGTTCCAGGCCAATCAGGAAGCCGTGCCGCAGGCAATGACCCTGCTGATTGGCTGGGATGCTGGCTTTCCTGGCCAATCAGCATTGAGCTAGCTAAACAGCTGGCTTGATGCCGGTTTGGCTGGGAAGCCAGTTTCTTGGCCAATCAGCATCGAGCTGGCCAAACAACATGGAGCCGGCTTCCTGGGCAATCAAGAAGCCGGGCAGCGGGTAATTACGCATTGCCCGGCTTTCTGATTGGCCAGGAAGCCGCCTCCATGCTATCGGAAGCACCGGTACTCGGTATCGGCAAGTACTGTAATATAAAAGGACTTTTACCTATCTTATCCCTCGCAGGTAGCGGTCTTCCCCCTCTCTGACATTCCGGTGTGTGAATGGGCCCTCGGCATCCTCACAGTACAGGACTATTGGTCCGACATTGTACGTGATGACAGAGTGCGACCGCCGATGAGAAGAAGAAGCGGGGGGGGGCGGTCACATGGAAGGAGGAACCTGCAGGGGTGAGGGGATAAGGAAAATAAAACTGCTTTTCACCAGTGCCCGCACATTTAACTCTTGCAGTGCTGGGGGAGCCCGAGTTTTTCTTTCACCGGTGTCCAGCTTCCAGCGACTGAGAGTTTGGTACGGACGCGCCTGCATCGGGGTCTGCTTGCTGCATAGCTCTTTGTCAATGTACAAAACTGGCATGTTGTAAAATGAGTTCTGTTTTTTTTTTAACTTTGTTTTATTGTATAATTGTCTCACGCACAGAGCTGGTTAAAGTGAACTTTGGATGCATTTAAAAGTTGCAGCATACAAATTAAGTCAATCTCTTATTAAAAAAAATAAAAATAACACTTTATCATTTCATTTTTTTAATGGCTGAATCCCAACTGGTAAAACTCTCATCATCTTAAAGGCGCAGTCCACCTTGTGCAACGGATTTCATAAATGCTCCAGGTCGGTAAAATAAAAAATACATTTATTCAATTATTGTATTCAGGAATACAGAGCATGTGGGGGTGCTGGGGCTCCTGCAGATGCTTCCACCGGGTTCAGCATCACTTCCTCCTGCCAGCTACCTCCGTAGGGACCCGGCTGGAGGAAGTGCTGCTGAACGACCGCAGTGCAGGGAGGAGGGTTCGCTTGCGTGCTTTCTACAAGTCCGACTAGACAGACATTCTCACATACACACTCCCCAAAATATATATATTTTTTAACCCCCCCTCCCCCCCAGTCTCCCTATCTTACGAGAACTGGAGTGGATCCTTAGCCTGGGGTCCAATGTGGGCTGCTGCGCTGTGACGGAGCTCCATCCATATGTGCATTGCTGGTACAGCTCCCTTGCGTGCCTGTAGAGGTGTTGGGAGACAGAATGTCCCCGGTCCAGGCACCTCTATAGGACACATGAGGGAGCTGTACCAGCAATGTACATATGGATGGAGCTCCCTCACAGCCATTCCCCCACCTCAAGCTGACACTCGGCTCCGACCAGCATATTCTGAATGGCTGCTCGGCGTGAGAACTGAAAGTTCTGCGCTATGGAGAGGCTGAGGAGCCTCTCACCTAGCAAAGTGGAAGGCACGCGGCGACCCGCTGAACATGCGGTAGCGACCCGCTTTTGGGTTACGACGCACCAGTTGAGAGCCAAGGATTTAGACGATTGTGCTCTTCCAACCTTGAAACAATTTGGTGAAGACCCTTTTCTGTTCCACCATGACTTCCCACTGTGTGCAAAGCCAGCTCCATCAAGACATGGTCTGACCAATTTGATATGATGGAACTTGAGTGGCCTACACAGATCCCTACTGAACGCCATTGTGATGAACTGGAATGACCATGGTCTTGGAAAGGAATTCTCATCAAGCTCATATCGGTGTGATTGTCAGATGCCAAAAATGTTTGACCACATTGTGTATATAAGGAGCAGTAAGCACCCCAGTCCTACATGTAATCATTTCTGGAGTGAGACCACCAATGGGAGAGTGAAGAAGAGGTATGTGGTCTTGGTGCGGCCTCCATTAAAGTGCTCTGCAGGGTCAGGGCCCAAGCTCACTTTAAGGGCTTTGTTTATAAAAGTTCTGGCAGGTGGATGATGTGCACACGGCACTAGCGCTCCTAGATGGCGCTGACCAGTATAGAAATTTCCTGTACTCGCCAGCACTATCTAGGGCCACTGGTGGTATGCGAATGGCACCTGCCAGCTTATACGCCGGGTGGAACTTAACCCCTTCGTGACTGACGACGTACAGTGTACGTCGCCAGCATCGGGGCTGTTTAAACAGACTCCCGGCGAATTGACATCGATGTATACTGCTGTAGCCCGCGGTATACTGAGCTTAGGGTGACGGGAGGACGCTAGTTTGTGTCCTCCCGTTACCCTTAGGAGAACTATGGGGAAAAGCCCTGACCCCATAGTTCTCCTTTAAATGAAAGCCTGAGTGTTGGTCTAGTTGGGACACTTTTTGGACACTTCAGGGCTGATGTATGAACAATCCACCCGACCTCTTCACATGGCATTCCTGCCACTAGATGGTGCCAAGGAGCATAGGAAATCCATCCTTGGCTCCATCCAGTGGCAGAAATGTTTTGCTAAAGACATTCGCCCGGCGAAGTTCACACATCAGCCCCATAGTGAACCTTGTTGCTTTTGTTTTCAGTGCCCAAATCCACAATGGGAGTAGTAGCCTCGGGATCCTGGAGTCAGCAAACTATAACGAGGTGTCAAAATGCAAATAGTTTTGTTGACATTTATCTTATCATTAGAGTAATACGAACATTTCTAGGGGATGAACATGTTTATACAGACCTACATCTCAAAACTAAAAAGGAGGGGGGGCAGTTGATGGGAAAGGGTGGCAGCTATGACTATGTGTATTCTGGATCAGATAGCGGATTATGAAATGTAATGTAGAACGCGTCCACCTCTGCTCTGTCCAGCCCGGCTGACGCCCGGCTCCCTCCTGGCGCCGCGCTGCTGTTTGCAAAGTGTGTACTTTAGCTCCCTGGCCCCTTTCTATGTCACAATCTGGGTGAGGGCTCCAGTAATTGCAGGGAGGGTCCTCCTCAGCCCCGTTTCCAGGATTAGGATGACTTCATGAACATCTAAATGTCATCTAAACCATGCGATGATCGTAAAGTGCGTACCGGCACCCCTCCAAAAAAACTAATCGTCCTATACTGAATTTAAAGCTGATTTTATATTTGTTGGATGCTAGATATCCAGCCTTCTCATAAATCAAGCTCACGTATATAAAGAAAAAAAACCCAGGGGGGGGGGCACTGAGCAACACTGGTCACCCATAACATTATGAACACCTTCCTAATATTGTGTCCCCCTTTTGCTACCAAAACAGCCCTGACCCGTTCAGGCATGGACTCCACTAGACCTCGGAAGGTGTGCTGTGGTATCTGGCACCAAAGCCATCAGTAGCAGATCCTTTAAGTTCTCTTAGTTGTGAGGTGATCGGCCTCCATGTATGGGTCTTGTTTTTCCAGCACATCCCACTGATGATTGATTGGATTGACATCTGGAGGATTTGGAGGCCAAGTGAACTCCTCAAACTCGTTCCTCAAACCATTCCTGAACCACTATTGCAGTGTGGCTGGGTCCATTATCCTGCTAATAGAGGTCACTGCCATCAGGGAATAGGGTTTCCATGGTATTTGGTGAGTAACAATGATCAGGTCGGTGGTACGTGTCAAAGTAACATCCACATGAATGGCAGGACACAAGATTTCCCAGCAGAACATTGCCCAAAGCATCCCACTGCCTCAGATGGCTTTTTTTCTTCCCATAGTGCATCTTGATGCCATCTCTTCCCCAGGTAACTGACACGCATGCACCCGGCCATCCACATGATGTAAAAGAAAACGTGATTCATCAGACCAAGCCACCTTATTCCATTGCCCCGTGCTCCAGTTCTGATGCCCACAGATGCTCGATTGGATTGAGATCTGGAGAATTTGGAGAATACCTCAAACTCGTTGTTGTGTTCCTTGAACCACGTCTGCAGTGTGGCGGGACGCATTATCCTGCTGCAAGATGCCACTGCCATTAGTGAAAATCATTTTGACAAGGCCACCTTTCCATGGTCCAGTTCTGATG